CTGTTTTGATTTCTGTAGATTTGTAGTAAGTTTTGCTATTAGGAAGCCTGAGACTCTCAATTTGGTTCTTCTTTTCAAGATTGTTTTAGATGTTTTACATTTTAAGTCCATGATCCATTTTGAGTTAATTGCTCACAAGGTGTGAGATTTAGGGTGAGGTTTGTTTTTGGCCTATGGATGTCTAATTGTTCCAGTACCATTTGTGGAAAAGTCTATCCTTTCTCCACTAAATTGCTTTTGACCTTTGTCAAAAAACAGTTGAGCATATTTGGATTTAATTCTAGGTCCTCTCGTACATTCCATTGATCTATGTGTCTATCCCTCTGCCAACATTGCACAAGATTATTGTAGCTACACAAGAAGACTTAAAATAAGATAGAGTGAGTCGTCCCACTTAATTCTTCTTTGTCAGGATCATTTTAACTATTCTAGGGCCTTTGTCTTTCCATGTAGATTTTATAATAGCTTGTCTATGTCTATTAGAAACTTTTCTAGGATTTTAATAGGTGCTGAATTAAACCTATAGTTCAGTTTGGGGAGGACTGACATTTTTACTATGTTGAGTCTTCCAACCTATAAACTCAGTAATTGTCTCCATTTATTTAAGTCATCTATAATTTCCTTCATTACCATTTGGTAATTTTTGGTATACAGATCCTGTATGTGTTCTGTTAAGTGTATTTGTAAATATTTCACTTTCTTTGGAGTGATTATAAATGGTATTAAATTTTAAGTTTCGGTTTCTACATGTTCATTGTCAGTAGGTAGAAATGTAATTGATTTTTGTGTATTGATCTTATATTGTCTGACCTTGCTAAACTCATTTATTAGTTCCTGGAGGATTGATTGATTGATTGATCAATTGATTGATTCTCTGGGATTATTTCTTTTTCATTCCTAAAAGATAATTTCACCAGATATAGAATTCACCATTTCCAGTTCTTTCAGCTCTTGAGAAATGTCATGACACATCCTCTTGGCCTCCACGATTTCTGATGAGAAATCCATCATCATTTGAATTGCTGTTCACCTGTAGGTAATGTGTTGTTTCTCTCTGGTTGCTTTTGAGATTTTTTCTTGTCTTTAGTTTTTGGAAGTTTAATTATAATGTGTCTTGGCATGGATTTCTTTGGGTTTATCCTCACTGGTATTTACTCAGCTCTTTGAATTTGCAGGTTTGTGTCTTTCAACAAATTTTGGAAGTTTTCAACCATTATACTTCAGTTACTATTTCAGTCCCAATCTCTCCTCTCTGAGACTATAATAATGCAAATGCTCATTTTTTTTTTGTTCTTGTCCCATGGGCTAGAAATATCTTTTTTTTTTTCCACTCTCTCTGTTCTTCTGTTTGGTCATATTCTATAAATCTGCCCGCGAGGACACTGATTTTATCCTTCGTCACTTCCTCCTCCCACCTTTCAGAGTTATCCTTTGAATGCCTCTTCTTTATTTCCATGGCGTATAGCACTAAAAAGCCTTTGGAAACCCAGCATTGTAAAGGTCCTTGTTAAATGCAGGGCATCACTGTACAATGATCTGGCTGGGTTGTTTCTTTGAAGTCCATTAGTTATTGATCTCTCTCTCTCCCTCTCTCTCTCTTTTTTTTTTTTTTTGGTTTTGGGATGTCAGATGCCAGGGAAACTGAGAAATAAGTTCTGGTTTCTACCTTGGGGAAGGACTACTGATATGGGAACTGTCCCAAATATAGGAAGGCTATTTGGGAGATGGGAGAAGACCACCCAATGTGACAATATCTGCCACATAAAGACATAGAGCGTGGCTACTCAAACAAATCCTCAACAGCTGAGTTACAATCCAGACCCTATATCTGGGTGGGACCTGCTCATCCAGGGAGGGTTGCAGACTGTGTTGTGTTTCTTGGTACATTTGCAAGGGGTTCTTTGACCTTGGCAAAATGAGCGTAAATTTTCTGAAAAATTTCACATGGCATTTCTCTTAAATAAGCCTTGTGATGTGCTAAGATTCCTAATGAAGGCAGAACATGAGTAGACAACCTGGTTAAAGCTCAAAATAATTATCTGAGTGAAAGAAGTCAAAGACAGAGAGAGAGAGAGAGAGAGAGAGAGAGAGAGAGAGAGCAAGAGAAAGAAAGAGAGAGAGAGAACACACTATATGATTCCACTCACATAAAACTTTAGAAAATGCAAATGAATTACAGTGACAGAAAGCAGATTAGTGATGGTCTTCTAGGCTGGGGGTGTTATGGGAAGATGAGGGAGGGATTATAAAAGGGCATGAGGAGACTCGTGTTGATGGGTCTGTCCTCTATCTTGATTGTGGTGTTGGTTTCATAGGTGTATATACGTACATCAAAAGTGATCAGATTGTATGCTTTATGTATATACAGTTTATTGGATGTCATTTATGCCTCAACAAAGCTGTTTAAAAGCAACATACGACTGATTCCTATTTGCTGGCCATCTAAAATCCAGTGTCATACTTTCGGTGATTTGAAGATTAAATGAGTGAAGATTAAAAGGATGAAGTGAGGTGACATTTTCCTTTGATTCAATGAAAAGCAGTGGAGTCATGCTTTCTCCCTCTCTCTCCTACACCCGCATCCTACCCTGGGGCATCTCCCTGGGTGATGAACAGAGTGGGTGTGGCAGAGATCACGTAGGACTGCCCATGAATTGACAGTTGTTGAAATGGGGAGATGAGTACATGGGATGTCAGTATGCTATTCTACTTTTGTATATATATGCATTTTCCATAATTATAGCTTAAAAATAAACAGCAGCTCCCTATTTCACTGAGGGGAAAAGCAACATCATCTCCTTCGAACCTGGTCCTGCCTGGTTCCCCCGACCCTTAGCTCTCTGCCCTCATCAATTCCTACTCACTTCCTCGTTCACTGCTGCAGCTGCACGGGCCTCTGCGCCGTTCCTGGAATGTGTCAGTCACTCTCCTGCTTCAGGGCCTTTGCTCAAGTTGTTCCCGTGCTGGAATCCTCCTCTCCCACAGCTTGAACCTGCTCCAATGTAGTCCTTGCAGTGAGTCCATTCTGATTACTCCATTTAAAATTTTCACCGCCCCCACCTGCCATTCTCCATACCCCCTTTTCTGCTATTTGTTATCATCATCTGACATCCCATATAACTGTTTATTGCTTTCTTCCCCGCCCCGCCCCTGCTTGGCTGATTGTAAGCTCCATTATGACCAGAATTCTTGCCTAATGTGTTCACTGCTGAATCTTCAGCAGTTAAAACAGTGCACAGTAGGTTCTCGATGAATGAACGAGCCACATATAAATATTCTAGTGGAGTAGGGAGTGAGCACTATCAGATTCATCGCAATCTAAAAATACATCATGGAGTCATTTGATAAACATAAGTTAATTGTTCGGTCAGTATCTTCCGTCTTGGCCTTTGGAAAAAGTGAGTACAATTAGTGGACCTTTTTTGTTAATTCATGAGAAGCAGCAAGGTAGGAAGGCACTCCTACAGTCTTTGGAGGTGGGCAGATCGGCTCCAAACCTAGGCTCAGCCACCTGCCACCTGTGTGATTTGGCCGAGTCTGAGCCTCTCAGAGCCTGGTCTCCTCACTGACAGTAACTGTTGGAAGTGCCCTGCAGTCCGAGGCTGGGTTGGAAGCCCACCACTGGCCCTCCTCATCCTTTCCGAAAGATGGACAGGACCGCCCCAGGACCTTCCCAGGTGCTGTGCCCTGTGGGACCTGCTGGTGGGATGGGCGAGTGATGGTCAGATGCGTTCATTGCTCAGGAGGGAAAGGCAGTGACATTGCTGAGATGACAAAAGCGGAGGTGACTCAGTCCTGGCTCGGCCTGAGGTTGCTTTTCCGATACCCCCGCCCCCAAGCCTGTGGTTATAAACAAGTGACTCAGAGGAATGATGGGAGAATGCCCCAGAAGAGTTCACACCAGCGTCTCGGGGGCTAAATTTAACCCACAGCTGCAGCCTCTGGCACTTTGGGAACAAGTTAATCTTGGTGGCTGAGGTTGTTGCGTGTGTATGAAGGGGGGTCGGGGTGGTCAGGAGTCCAAAGCAGTGTGGGCATGGGGACTGGCTGTCCTGGGCCTCCACCCTGACCCCTTAGATGGTAGACAGGGCCAAGCCTAGTATGGACCAAGATCGATAATCATAAACAGATAAAACCCTAGAATATTAAGCTCTTCGAGTGTCACTTTTTGAACACTAGGATCCAGAATGTCAATCCCTCATAACGTTAAAACCCTGGGGGTTTAAACACCTAGAATAGTCGAATTCTAGGAAATTAATTTTCTAGACACAATGTTAAAAACTTATGACTGTGTACTCGCCAGAATACAGAACCTCAGTGCTTCTGAGCCTCCGCAGCACTGACCTGAGGCTCTCAGAGTCAAATTCCTCCACCTCCTCATTGGGTAGGAAGGGAAACTGAGGCTGGACAGAGAGATCTGATCTGCCCTAGGCTCCACAAGAAAGTGGTGATCTTGTTTACCTCAGGCACCCTCTCGCTTTCCCACACAGTCCAAGGAAGTTCTCAGAGCTGGGGCAGAAAGAGGGAGAAGAAGTTCCCATTTTAAAGGTGGGACAATAAGGTCCCCAAAGAGTGAATGTCATGCTCAAGTTCACTGAGCACAAAACCCAAGCACACGGTATCCAGGGGTGGTGGCTGGAGTGAGACATACTCCAGGGAGGAAGACAGAGGCACCTGGACAGAATGTCCCAGAAGGGATGAAGTAAGGGAGACTGGGAATTGGGACTCCAATGCTTGCCCCTCCCTGAACTGAAGGGCAGAGCTTGGGGCATCCACTTCCCACAGGGGCATTGCCCAACCAAGGCATGCTGTGCTCCATTTAGAAATGGGGCGGTGAGGCCCTCATCTTTCCGGGATGGCCCAGACACCCCACTCTGCTCCCATGAGTCAAGGCTGCCCTGGAAGGGGGCCTCTGCCCAGCTGTCCCCTCCGCGTCATATGCAGGAGGCCAGGCAGCTCGCCTTACAGGGCCAGGTCCACCTCTATATATAGCCCCACGAAGACAGCTGCGTGGACAAAGCGCGACCCAGCAGGAAAGCAGGGAGGACAGAGGAGGCCCCTGGAACTGTCGCCGCACCCTTGGCCACCCACCATGGCGCTGAGCTCGGAGCAGGCAGAGGAGCAGCGGTTGTACCAGCAGACGCTCCTGCAGGACGGGCTCAAGGATATGCTGGACCACGGCAAGTTCCTGGATTGTGTAGTGCGGGTGGGCGAGCGCGAGTTCCCGTGCCACCGCCTGGTGCTGGCCGCCTGTAGTCCCTACTTCCGGGCGCGCTTTCTGGCCGAGCCAGAGCGCGCGGGCGAGCTGCGCCTGGAGGAGGTGTCCCCGGAGGTGGTGGCCCAGGTGCTGCACTACCTGTACACGTCGGAGATAGCGCTGGACGAGGCGAGCGTGCAAGATTTGTTCGCCGCGGCGCACCGCTTCCAGATCCCGTCCATCTTCACCATCTGCGTGTCCTTTCTGCAGAAGCGCCTGTGTCTCTCCAACTGCCTGGCGGTCTTCCGCCTCGGACTCCTGCTCGACTGCGCGCGCCTGGCGGTGGCCGCCCGCGACTTCATCTGCGCGCGCTTCTCGCTGGTGGCGCGCGACGCCGACTTCCTCGGGCTTTCGGCCGACGAGCTCATCGCCATCATCTCCAGCGACGGCCTCAACGTGGAGAAGGAGGAGGCCGTGTTCGAGGCGGTGATGCGGTGGGCGGGCAGCGGCGACACCCAGGCGCAGGCCGAGCGCCAGCGCGCGCTGCCCACGGTCTTCGAGAGTGTGCGCTGCCGCCTGCTGCCGCGCTCCTTCCTGGAGAGCCGCGTGGAGCGCCACCCTCTCGTGCGGGCCCAGCCGGAGTTGCTGCGCAAGGTGCAGATGGTGAAGGATGCACACGAGGGCCGCCTCACCGTGCTGCGCAAGAAGAAGAAGGAGAAGGGGAAGGAGGCCGCTGGGGCCAAGGCGGCTGACAAGGGCGCAGGCGAAGCCAAGGCAGAGGACGCTGAGGAGGAGGCCGAGCGGGTCCTACCCGGCATCCTCAATGACACTCTGCGCTTCGGCATGTTCCTGCAGGACCTCATCTTCATGATCAGCGAGGAGGGCGCCGTGGCCTATGATCCGGCGGCCAATGAGTGCTACTGTGCCTCCCTCTCCACCCAGATCCCCAAGAACCACGTCAGCCTGGTGACCAAGGAGAACCAGGTCTTCGTGGCCGGGGGCCTCTTCTACAACGAGGACGACAAAGAGGACCCCATGAGTGCTTATTTCTTGCAGGTCCTGGCCAGCCCTGGGGGGGGGCAGACAGTGTTGAGCTCTGGGCACCGGGGTCAGCTTTGAGGCCCAGGAGAGGCCTGTGTCTCCTTGTTGGGGAATGTCGTGGGTCTAGGGTGAGATGTAGACCAGGGAGGTTCACGGACAGCCACTGCCTGGAAGTTGAAGACAGTTACAGTCAGTTTACAATGAGCTGTATAACTTTGGTGTCTCCGTTTCAGAGGGACGTTGGCCCTGGGATGGTCTGATGTGTTGGAGGCCCTAGCTCTGCACAGGGTTTGGGTCAGGCACAGTGAGAAGGAGAAGCAAGGTCAGTGTAGGGGTCCTTGCCAGGGCCTTTGCATGAGGCTGGGACTGGAGTGGAACCGAGTGTCCCAGGCAAAGGGACCCTCCTTCCTAGTCCTCCCATTGTACAGATGAAGAAACTGAGGCCCAGGAAGGACCGGTAGAGCGGGATGCTCAGTCCAAGCTGTAGTGTGACAATGGGGTCGCAGAGGACAGAAATGGAGACTGGCCTTGTGGGTTTGAGCACTGACAGTTGGGTGGAATTTGGGGACGTGAAGGGGAGGGTGGTGCTGTTTCTGGCTAGGGAATGGTGAGCAAGGGATGAGTGACAGGAATGAGCCTCGTCAGTGGTGCATTCAGTGAGGCCTGACCAGGTGTGCAGGGGGTGAAGGCGGCTTGGCGCCAGGTTTAAGCAGAGGAAGTTGGTGGTGGGGGGTGGGCAGCTCCACCGGTTACCAGCCAAGGCACATCGTGGACACATTGTTTGTTCTCTCTGGGCCTCTGATTGCTAATGGGGATAGTCTTCTTCCTGCTCGTAAGGTTGTTTGAAGGTTAAATGGTGGTTATACAGTGCTCAGCCCTCAGAGAACATTCCCAAAAGGTGCGCTGCTAGTGGTGCTATCGTAAGACGGCCAGGTGGGCGGGGCCACTGACTTACGCTGTAGATCCTAAGGGGTGAGCAGCAGGGCTGTACCAGGGTTTTCTGTGCAGTGGGATGGGGTGGAGAACAGGGGCAGGCGGGTCTCAGTCACTTCAGGAGTTGTCCTGGGGAAGGGCCAGGGCCGCAACCGGCCGCCCTCTCGGAGGCCCGGTGTAGAGCTGCCCCACCGAGGTGCTATAATAATGGTGAGGTCTGGGCACCTACCTGTGTGGGGCTGGGGGTGGGGGACTCGGCTGTTGTCAGCCTGATGGGAAGAGAGACACTGTCTTCAGAATCCCCCTCCAGGTTGCACTGCCCCAACCAGGAGGCCCGGACTCCTCCGTGACCAAGGGTGGCCAGACGAGGCTGAGCTGTGGCTGGGCTACGGGCTGGGGGCGTGGGGGGCGGTAGCTGACTGGACGCCCCGCCCGCAGTTTGACCATCTGGACTCCGAGTGGCTGGGAATGCCGCCTCTGCCCTCGCCGCGCTGCCTCTTCGGCCTGGGAGAGGCTCTCAACTCCATCTACGTGGTCGGCGGCCGGGAACTGAAGGACGGCGAGCGCAGCCTGGACTCGGTCATGTGCTACGACCGGCTGTGAGCGCGGGCGGAGGGCGGG